TCTGGTCTTGATTTTCATAGGGTTTTCACATACCCTACCCTTCACTACACACTAATATTACTTAGTGCCAAGTATACTTTTAATTATTTTTGTAAGTCTCTTTGCTTGGTCATAAATGTTTTCCCCTGCATTAGCCTTTTATATTCTTAAATTAGTATAATTTGGGGAGTGGGAAGGAAGGAGTGATAGGATTATGCATTTAACTATTAAAGGGATGAGATTCCATGGCAAAATAAGGAAAAGCATTGCCTGTTTGGGGAAATTCTGGAAAAATAACTTCGAATGAAATATGATGGTGTTTGTTTCCATTCAAAATGATCCCAACTTTGAAAATAAAAAATTAGCTTTTTTTTTTTTTTTTTTTTTTAACCAAGTTTGAGCCTACTTGTGAGAGACTAGATAGTAACCTGCAAGAACCAGTAAGTAACCTGGGTATTGTTGATGCTTACTTAAATTCTTGGACGTAGATAGCCCTGGACAGGCCAGTAGCCATCAGTGGAGCAGGGGCAGGAGAGTGGTTTACCGGAAGAGCAGGGGAAATGTGGCGAGCAGTTTGGTATTAGTCTGCTGGCCCAGGACAAGGCCAGTCGGACGGAGCCAGGAGATCGGGCCCAGCTGTTCTTTACCGGCACTGAGGCCAGGTTCGGGGAGAAAAAGGGAAAACAGTGTTAAACTGTAACAGGAGGGGTGCGAGAGAAGTTTTGATAATGAAACTGTTAAATGTTGGCTTGGTGGGTGGTGTGATAAGTCTCCTTTTCTGGCAGCCATCAGACTTTTCTGTGTTTACTAAATGTCCTTAAGTATGATTCCCCCAGGAGAAGGGGTTTGAAATAAAAGGTTCCCGAGAAGCCGCTCCCTCTGTCCAGTTTCTCACTAAACACAGGAACCCGAGGAAAAGATCGCTCCCCTCCCCTCCAGCTCACTCCTTCCACTGTGCATTCGTGCAACGCGTTCATTGAGCAGCTACTGTGGGCCCATCTTTGAGTTAAATTCTGTAAGATAATAAGATAGTCATCAGCCACAATCCGAAACTGACTGTGATTCCAGTATTTAAAAATGCATAAATGGGCACAGCTAGCTGGCCTCTACACATTTCATCTGATACTCATCTTGCTGGGGGGGGGGGGGGGGGGGAGGAGCAATCCTTCCAGTTAAACATGGGGTGGGATGAAGGGAGGGAGCTGGTAGTGTTGGACCTAATGTTGACGGGCGGTAAGGTCCGAGCGTTTCAGGAGCACTGTGACAATCAGAGAGCTGCCCTTGACTTGCTGACCGCAGGGTGTGGGGGTGTGTTGTAGACACTGTGTTCCATGTACCGCACCCCCACATCTCACCGATGAGGGCAGAGTTTTACATGACAGAAACGGAGCTCCGTATCAGGTCACTGTGTAAGCAGTAGGAGCTTGGGGAAATAAGTATAAGATAAGGCTGTTCCCTTAGCTAGTTTATAGTCAAGCTAGCAGAAGGGTTGTTCACATGACCGAAATCACAGCACCAGTGGCTGAGGGCTCGAGTGGGTGCCACAGACAGCGGCTGTCACAGTGAAGAGACGGTGACAATGGGAATGGGGATAGTTATGAATTCTTTAGAGAATTTTGAAATAGAGTTAGAATGTGAAGGTAGATAGCTGAGGGCATGGGGGCAGTTGGTAGGGAAGGTAAGTGTTAGGTGCTCGAGAAAGGACAGAGGGGGGGACTGCAGGATGGTCCTCCTTCACAGCTCCGCTGGGAATGATGGTCACGTGATCGCAGGGGTGGAGACAGAATTGGGCCAGGTTGTGTCTGAGAGGTTTGTACTGTATCCCAGGGGTGATTTGAGCTAAGAAAGAGGTGATATGATAAGTGTGGGAAAATAGTTTTGTAGATTTTGGTTTTCTTACGAGGTTTTTAAAATAATGTGGGTTTTTTGTGTGTTTCGATTTTTGTTTTTTTTTTTAGTTACATAAATGTTATAAGTTGATTTGAGAAAATTTGTAAACTACAAAAAAAGTGAGAAAAATCATCTTATTCATTGATAATTTTTGAGTGTGTGAACTTTAAAGTTATTTTTCTGTCTTTGAAATTCGATGTTTTGCCTGTGGTGCTATCTCCCTCTGTTGTTGCCTGGTTGTCCATTCGCTTGCTGCGTCCGCAGACCTTGGTTGGGTCCTTCAGTGAGCCAGGCGAGTCTTTATCTCTGTACCCCAAACACCTTGCAGAGAGGGCGAGGATGCAGTGATACGCTTGGATTTGTGCCATCCCTCAATAGAAAGAAGGGAGCGCCTGAGTCAGTGCAGTTGAACAGCTTCTCTGGGTACAGGGAGGAGAAATGAGAAGGAACCCGGAATGAACCAGGAATGAGTGGGCAGCTGGCCGGCAGCGTTGAGCTATGTGGGTGATAGATACACCAAAGGATTATGAATTGTGCTTTGAAATGGACTAGCCCACAATTCTCAACATCTCCAGGGAACTTGTTAGAAATGCAAATAACTGAGGCGCCACGATCTAACAAGACCTCCTAGTGATTCTCACAAACGCTCACATTTGAGAACTCCTAGACTAGAACGGAGCCTGCACGGCTGCCATGTGGCAGAGCACAGCATAGGCAGGTGAAAAGCCCGAAGATGTGTGGTATCCGTGAACATGACCAATGAGATGCCACAGGAGCTGAAATAGGAAAATAGGAAAATATTACATTGTTACAGAGAGCATTAAACGTGTTATAAATGGTCAAGATCTATTTGTCTTGTATAAATCACCGCCTTCCTGGTTTGAGCATCTAATTAGAATTATAATAGACTAGAGGCCTGGTGCACAAAAATTTGTGCACGGGGGTAAGGGAGGGACTGTGTCCCTCAGCCCAGCTTGCACCCTCTCCAATCTGGGACCCCTCAAGGGATGTCCGACTGCCCGTTTAGGCCTGATCCAGGCCTAAACGGGCAGTCGGACATCCCTTTCACAATCCAGGACTGCTGGTTCCCAACCACTCTCCTGCCAGCCTAATTGCTCCCCTGCTGGCCTGGTTGCCCCTAACTGCTCTCCCCTGCTGGCCTGGTCCCCCCAACTGCCCTTTTTTGCAGGCCTGTTCTCTCCAAACTGCCCTCCCTTGCAGGCCATCTTGTGGTGGCCATCTTGTGTCCAATGGGGGCAGCCATCTTTGACCACATGGGGCAGCCATCTTGTGTGTTGGAGTGATGGTCAATTTGCATATTACTCTTTTATTAGATAGGATTAATCCAATTAGAGTGTCCCCATGCTCAATGTCCTTGCCCAGGTTTCTTCTCCCAGTCCTCATGACTGCCTCCTAACCTTTTCCACTTGGTTGTCTCATAGTGGCCTCAGATCTCCAAGACTACATGTGTGTATTATCTTTCCCCTTAACCAATATCTCTGTGTGAGTCTCCCATTTCAGAGAACTGGTCTGATCCTCTCAGTTACTCAAATCAGTGGTTCTTGGCTTATTTCTCACAAAATCTTTGAATTCTACCACTTCCGAGCTTTCAGAGGCACCTGTCTCTCTCTGTCCCCACTGATACCTTTCCAATTTAGACCGTTAGTTTCTCACCAGATCGTTTTAACAGTCAACTGGTCTTTTGGCCCCAAAGCCATTCTCAGTGTAGCCAGAACACGCTGTGTAAACGCAAATTTTATTCTTTTTTTACAACCATTCCATGGATCCCCATTACCATCTCAATAAACGAGGGCGTAAGGATGAGTCTCATGATTTTCTTTCCAACCTTATTTTTTGTCCTTGGACCTTTGGTCCTTGTCACCTGCTCTTCCCTCGGCCTGGACTATGTGCTTACCTTCCTTTACTGCCTGTCATCACCAACCCTTCAGGTGCACAGGTGGTGCCCCTCCATGAAGCCTTTTCTGCTCATGAGCATAATCCTCATCACACACCACTTACCATGTCTTCTTGTAATTGTTTGGCATTTTACATAGCACACCTTTTTTTTTTTTTAATAATATATATTTTATTGATTTTTTACAGAGAGGAAGGGAGAGGGATAGAGAGTTAGAAACATCCATGAGAGACAAACATTTATTAGCTGCCTCCTGCACACCTCCTACTGGGGATGTGCCTGCTACCAAGTTACATGTCTTTGCCGGAATCACACCTGGGACCTTTCAGTCTGCAGGCCGACACTCTATCCCCTGAGCCAAACTGGTTAGGACTACATAGCACACTCTTACTCCCCCTCCCCCCATCACCCCGTTACATTACACTCTTCACAGGCGTTGACTCTCTGTCATTCTTTCGCTAGCTCCCACACATTACCTGCAAAGTAGAAGGTGCATAACCATCCCATGTTGAAATAAGTAACCAGCAGCAATCTGGATGTGGGCATTTGAAACAGTTTTAAAGGATGGAGATTTGTATTTTCTACCCTTTACCATCCCAGACATTTTTCTGTCCATTGATCCATTTATCTAGTTTTATAGGAAGCATCCTGCATGCCAGGCACTGAACTAGTTGCTAAGATTCAACTGTGATAAGACTCGATGATCTTTGCAATGGGCCTTATCTTCTAGGGGAGGAAATCAACCTTCCAAGTAGTGTATGGTATGTCCAGTACAGAAAGGTCTAGCCGGAGGAGGAGCAAGAGGAGCAGCTCACCCAACTGGACCAGTCGGGAGGAGGTGATGCCTCACTCAGTACTTGAGAACTTAGGATGGGTAAAAGGATGGGGACGTACTGATCCCAGTGAAGGGAACGGCTAACAAAATGTCCCCTCCTGAGCAGAGAGGGGGCATTTATACTAGACGTCAAAGCACTAGGAAGGCAAGCAGCTGAAGGAGGCTTGTTTGAAGGATCGTGGTGTGGGAATGCACCAGGGGAGTCAGAAGGTAGATGCATGCATTGGATGTAATCCAGGGGAGATGAGCAGTCACCTCTTAGGGATAGAGAAAGGGATGGACTTGAAAAATGTTTTGAACAAAGAAAGGCCTTGGGAATTAATGAGATTTGTATATGGAGCAGAGAAAACTATGTTCTAACCTCCTCCTTTCTCTCCTTAGCTCCTGACTAGCATGAGGCAAGGATTTCACAGAACTTGCAGCCAAAATCCCCACTGCCATCAGCTCAGAAGTCTTACCGGAGCTCCAGGAAGGGGGAACCGGTGAGGTTGCCCGGAATGTGAGAAGCACTCCTGTCATAGTATATCTGGTGCGGAGGGAAAGAGCACTAAACATCTGTTAGTAGTCACGTTCGTTTCCTGTATTGGGCTTCCTGCCGCTCAATATCTGGGATCCATGGGTAACTCGAAGTCTTCCTCATGAAAAATGCTCTGATTGTAAAGATATTCCAATTTTAAGACATACAACTTTATTTTAGGATGTATTTTGCAGTCCTTTTGACTTCTAACAAATTATATTTAACATCTTTTAGTAAAAGTCATAAAGTAATAGAATTTGTGAACTGATCCTAGAATACCTTTTTGCATAATATTCAATAGTTCTCTTTTCCCCCAAAGTGTATGATGCATCGTAATAATGAGATTTCTGCATTCATGTTGCTTTGTGCTAGTATTTATTTTCTGCAATCATGTGATAGAATAATGAAAACTTACTACAAATCAACAAATGACAAATGCTGGTAAGGATGTGGAGAAATGGGAACCCTAGTACACTGCTGGTGGGAATGCAGACTGGTGCAGCCATTATGGAAAACAGTATGGAGTTTCCTCAAAAAATTAAATATGGAACTGCCATTTGACCCAATGATCCCACTTCTAGGAATATATCCTAAGAAACCAGAAACACCAATCAGAAAGAATGTATGCACCCCTATGTTCATAGCAGCTCAATTTACAATAGTTAAGATATGGAAACAGCCCAAGTGCTGATCAGTAACTGAGTGGATTAAAAAGCTGTCGTACATTTACACCATGAATACTATGCAGCAGTTAAAAAGAAGGGATCTCTTACCCTTTGAGGCATCATGGAGGGGCCAGGAGAGTATTGTGCTAAGTGAGATAAGTCAGAGAAAGACAAATATCGCATGATCTCACTCATATGAGGAATCCAATGAACAAAATAAACTGTTGAACAAAATAGATCCAGCGACATAGAAGCATGGAACAGACTGTTGAACCTCAGAAGGAAGGGTTGGGGAGGGGGACGAGAAGACAAGCCAAAGAACTTGTATGCATATGTGCATAACCTGTGGATGCAGACAAGAGGGTGGTAAAGGGTGGGATGGGTCAGATGGGGTCAATGAGGGGGAAAAGGGGGACATATGAAATACTTTGAAGAATAAAGATTTTTTAAAAATAAAAAATAAACCAGTAGAAGTGCTGGGCATTACACTGAGGCCAGGACTTAACCATTCATTACAGTGTTCCACATAATTCATTATATTTATTAAGTGCATATATTTCTCCACTAGCCATGCTATTATTCAGCTCTTATGTAGCTGTTATTGCTAAAACCTGTTATTCCCTTGATGAGAAGGGCCAGACACGAAAAGGGGAAAAAAAAAAAAAAAAGAAAAAAAAAAAAAAACTCAGGAAAGAAAGGAGGGAGGAGGACATGCGAGGAGGAAGAGGAAGGAGTCCCCAGTAAGAGGTGACTGCTCAGAGTGCCGTGTGGACACGATGCAGAGGTGTGTCCTGTCTTGTGTACCCGTTTCCTGGGCATTGGCTGCGGAGATGGGACAGGCTGTCTGTGTCTGACCATGTCTCCTAATCGTACTTTCTCCTAGAGCTCTTTGGAGGAGGCATGGCTTCTGGAGAAGAGAAAGCACAGAGCACACACAGGGTGCTGAGGATCAGCCAGTTGGATGCACTTGAACTGAACAAGGCCCTGGAGCAGCTGGTCTGGTCCCAGGTCACTCAGTGCTTCCACGGCTTCCAGCCGGGGCTGCTGGCCCGCTTTGAACCCGAGCTGAAAGCCCTCCTGTGGCTTTTCCTGTGGCGCTTCACCCTCTACTCCAAGAACGCCACCGTGGGCCAGTCGGTCTTAAATATTCAGTACAAAAACGACTTCTCCCCGGGCCAGCGGTACCAGCCCCCGAGCAAGAACCAGAAGCTCTGGTACGCCGCCTGCACCATCGGCGGGAAGTGGCTGGAGGAGCGCTGCTACGATCTTTTCCGAAGCCATCACTTAGCCTCCTTTGGGAGAGCCAAGCAGTGTCTGAACTTCGTGGTGGGCCTCGTGCAGCTCGGGGGCCTGATTAACTTCCTGATCTTCCTCCAGAAGGGCAAGTTTGCAACTCTGACGGAACGCCTGCTCGGCATCCGCTCCGTGTTCTGCAAGCCCCAGCACGCGCGGGAGGTGGGCTTCGAGTACATGAACAGGGAGCTCCTCTGGCACGGCTTCGCCGAGCTTCTCATCTTCCTCCTGCCGCTCATCAACACCCAGAAGCTGAAGGCCAAGTTATCTTCCTGGTGCATCCCCCTCGCCGGCGCCCCGCACAGCGACAGCGCCCTGGCCAGCAGCGGCAAGCAGTGCTCCCTGTGCGGCGAGTGGCCCACCATGCCCCACACCATCGGCTGCGAGCACATCTTCTGCTACTACTGCGTGAAGAGCAGCTTCCTGTTTGACATGTTCTTCACCTGCCCCAAGTGTGGCACCGAGGTCCACAGCGTGCAGCCGCTGAAGTCGGGGATCGAGGTGTCGGAAGCGAATGCGCTTTAGAAACTGAAAACCCTTGTCTGTGCAGAGAACCGTGTTGCGTTGACATCCTCGGAATCAGTCACCCTGAGCACACCGTGCAGATGTCTTTTATGAGAACATGTGCTGCTCAGCCGCTGAGTTCTGTTCCTCGCCAGACCCGACTAAAATCTCATCACCGGGATCCATGGGTTTCTAAGTGTATTCTGTAAATGTGAATGTGTTCTTCTCTTTAATGATTGCATTCGGTGTTTAAGGTCAGGAGCAATGGGCAGTTTTTGTCTGATGCATACCAACAATGTTTCTTCACTTTGTACTTCCTAGAACAAGGTTAGACTCTAAAAATAAAAAGTGTTGGAGCCTGGGATGAGCATGCTTTTATTTCCAGAGATAATCTGACACTGATAAGACCATGGTGTTTTGGATTTTTTAAAACGTATTTTTATTGATTTTAGAGAGGAAGGGAGAGAGGGAGAGAGAGAATCACTAATCAGCTACCTCCTTCACATCACCAGCTGGGGATTCAGCCTGGGGATGTGCCTCCTGGTTCATAGGGTGACATTCAACCATGCCAGCCGGTTCAACCCTGTTGTTTTAAATTTTCTGATCTGGGAGCCCACTTCTAATTGTAGGCTTTTCTCTGAAGCCAGTTTTTAAGGGGTTCAGTGGGCTCTGTTCTCAGGCAGAATGGAGAGCCCCAAAAGCTGAAGACATGTCCTGTGAGCTCCCTGGCCCCACTGGAGTAAGAGCTCCTTGCTGGCCACTCAGCAAAGCAGGGAGGTCACTGCAGTGGGCCATCCTGGGATTGTGTTCATACTCCTACCCCCGAATGAAAATCCTTCCTGTTACTCAATGTGGGTGACATCCCTCACGTAAACCACGTCATCGTGAAGTAGGAGGGGAGGCAGGTCACCACGGGCCTGGGGGTGCTGGTTCAGGAATGATGGGTGTGATGGGCAGGTAGGCATAATATAAGTCCCTCCTGTATTTTCCAATTTTCTACAATAAGCATGTCATACTTTTTAATTACATCAAAACAAGTTATTTCTTTAAAATCTGATGGCCAGTATTGTTTCAGTTAAATCCGAAGAGAAAACATCTGCATAGCTAGAAAACCGACTTTGACAAATGTGAATTTAGGTCATAGGAGGCCCTATAAACCCTAGGGTTCCTATTTGTGTGCTATAATAAATAGAGCCTGCCTTTATGGCCACCCACAGCTGTTGAGAAAGTCTGAATTATTTCATACATTTTAAGTTAGATGCTAAGTCTGACTCCATATAATATAGGACTTTTTTTGACCACTTAGAAGTATTTAGACAACAAAAAGGTAGAAAGTTCCCACTCCCTCTTCCAGAAATACTTGTATGTGTAAGGAAATGTACAGTGTTTGTAAATGGGGTTTGGCTACCTTAAAATATCTAGGACTGGTACACCAGAGCAAGACAATCGACATGAATACGTTATGTTATCAATTTGCCTAAGCCTATAAGATGACAATATTCCCGACCAAGAGTCAAGACACAGGGCCTGACCAGGATTTTGTATGCCTTCCAGATGTGGACACAAAAATGCTGACATTTCTGAGTATTTTCATGGTTCAGTTGTCAATAAGACATAATGCAAACTTGAACTTCAGCTGAGACTTTATCTAAATAGTCATAAATCTGCATTTGTGGAGCCAGAGGCTTTCCTGTTCTGAGAGGTGTCCAGGAGGGCTCCTGCTTACACACATCTCACTTCGCGTTGAGGAATGGTGAGCATGCTCTCCTGAAAGCTTCTCTTCTTTACATTCCCACCAATCTGTAAGAATTCCCTTTTAGTCAACAAAAATTATAAGACAACACACTATGCTTAATTGCTTTAAAAAGGCTTAGTTCCAGACCAAATGCAAAGGGCAAATAAATTCTTTTAGAGCACAAACCCCCATCCAGTATTGCATGCATTTATTACTTAACACCACATCTCAAACCTACTAGAATCTGCCTTAGTCTCAACTAGATGACTGTCTTGCAAAATAGACTGAAGCTATGTGTGTGTGTGTGTGTGTGTGTGTGTGTGTGTGTGTGTGTGTGTGTACAGCCAAAAACAGTAACTGCCACAGTGTTTGAAGAGGACAGGAGGGCCCTGCCAGTGTGGCTCAGTGGGTGAGCATCGACCCATGCACCAAGAGATCACCAGTTCGATTCCCGATCAAGGCACATGCCTGGGTTGTGGGCTGGGTTCCCAGTAGGGGACATGCAGGAGGTAGCTGATCGATGTTGATGTTTCTCTCTCAATGTTTCTATCTCCACTTTTAAAAATATTTTTTTTTATTGATTTCAGAGAGGAAGTGAGAGGGAATGAGAAAAACATCAATGATGAGAGAGAATCATTGATTGGCTGCCTTCTGCACAACCCCTACTGGGGATCGAGCCCACAACCCAGGCATGTGCCCTGACCTGGAATGGAGCTGTGACCTGGTTCACAGGTTGACGCTCAACCACTGAGCCATGCTAGCTGGGTCTATCTCCATTTTTATTTATTTATTTTTTTTTTTTTAAAGAAGGGTGATTACCTTAAAACAAACAAACAAAAAAAGACAAGAGGGTTTGGGCTTTGATTAGGAAGGCCTCGCAAATAAATGAGCAGAGCAGCCGGTGGAATTGTGGGAACACTTCCCCATGCATTTCTGTAACTGTGCAGCGAGGCCAGCAGCCCTGGTTTGCAGCGTATCTCAGAGTGCCGTTTTTAATTTAAAACGTTCTGTGGCGTTCTTGCTTTGAGGGAAAACACAGTTGGAATTCAGGAGCACAATAAGAGAATTAATAACTTTTCTTTGAAAATACATGCAATTTTGGAGCTGTCAATTTCAGCTATGTCCCTTTAAATACTTTTTCCTCTAGAATCCAACTGGGTAGATGAGATTTTTTTTTTTAAATTCCATTATAGAAGTAATAGCCCTGTTTTGGTGTTTTGTAAGCAGATAATATTCTGCTAGTGACTGTCTTTGCAGTAATGCATGGCTCTGAATTCTGAATTCTATTATTTTACATCTCGAGCAGCTTAAAGTGTATTTTTTATAAACAGCGAACTTCACCTCATAAAAATTCATTACATAAGGGTATAAACAAGTGCTTTTCTTTCTAGTCATTGGCGGTAAGTGATTCATCAGTTTTCCACAGAAAACCAATTTCATTGCCGATGTTCTATAATTTCCAATCTCCCGGAATTGTGGAACCATAACACACAATCCCAATGCAAGGAAGGGAAAGATTTCTTTTCTTTTTAAGGCCTGTGCTTTGTCTCCTTAATAGGATTGAATATCATTTGCTGTCTCATCAATTTTATTTTAAAAAATTAAGCGATCAGTCTCTTTTCCTTACCTGCATCTGTTGTTTCCACAAGTGGATGCATAGCTGGTAGAAAACTCCAAACCCCATGCTACTTGATGCCTAAAAACAATGAACATTCACTCCTTTCTCCCAAACTAGAAATATTAAGAAAAGAATTTTCCAAAGGCAAAATCCTTCCTTTTTACTGTTTACTTTCAATCTTTTCATCCCCACAGTGAAGGAGGAGTGTAGGGGGGCTGTGGAAATCAGGAACTGTTCACCTTCTATCACCCGGGACCTCCTGGGAGTGATCCCTGGGAGAATTACCCCACCAGTACTTGAGGTTGGTTTTGTCCAGTGTTTCAAAGTTGGCTGATGGAAAATGGGCATTCCAGTATAAAATATGGAGTTAAATCCGGCTAGCATGGCTCAGTGGTTGAGCATTAAACTGTGAACCAGGAGGTCAGGGTTGGATTCCTGATCAGGACACATGCCCAGGTTTCACTCACAATCCCCAGTAGGGGGCGTGCAGAAGGCAGCAATCAAAGGTTCTTTCTCATCATTGATGTTTCTGTCCTCTCTGTCTCCCTTTCTCTCTGAAGTCAATAAAAACATTTGAGTTAAGCCCTGGCTGGTTTTGCCCAGTAGATAGAGCATCGGTCTACTGACTGAAGGGTCCCAGGTTTGATTCCAGTCAAGGATATGTGCCTGGTTTACAAGCTTGATCCCCAGTGTGTGTGTGTGTGGGGGGGGGGGGGGGGGGGGGCGGGGGCCTGGGGGGGAGCCTGTAGGAGGCAGCCATCAATGATTCTCCCTCATCATTGATGTTTCTCCCTCTCTGAAATCAATACAAAAATATATTTTTTTAAATATATGGAGTTACTGCCAAAACTGGTTTGGCTCAGTGGATAGAGCTTTGGCCTACGAACTGAAGGGTCCCAGATTCGATTCTGGTCAAGGGCATGTACCTTGGTTGTGGACACATCCCCAGTAGGGGGAGTGCAAGAGGCAGCTAATCAATGTTTCTCTATCATCAATGTTTCTGACTCTATCCCTCTCTCTTCCTCTCTGTAAAAAATCAATAAAATATATTTACTAGTAAGAGGGAAGAAATTCCTGCAGATACAGTGATGGTCTAAGGCCATCTACGATAAATGAAAATTTCTCAGAAATGCCAACAAGGAAAAAGGTTAAACATCTAAAAGCCTTAGGAAGTTAAAAGTCCAGTCTTTTTCAAAACACCTTCGTATTTGGGTTGAGAAGTTGAATCAAAAGTACGATAATTGAATTTACTAACAAAGTTATGTGGTATCGCAAGGGTGAAGTGATAGACTCTCAAGATCATTTGAACGTAAAGCTGGTCCTTATTCACCCCTCCGCCGGCCACTGCTCTGGTTACCCACATATTTCCTCTAATGAGTTACATAAGGAAGGTCTGTGGCCTTGTCTCTGCAGAGCCAGTCTTATGCAGAGGCCCCGGGGCTGTTTTGAGAAATATGAATAACTGCCCCCTGCGTCTGCCATGGTGCCTGGAATTCCATCCTCAGTGGAGAGTAGCCTGCCCCTTAGGGCACAGTATTGGCTCTGCCCCATGAAATCGCACGGGATGTGAGGTCACCTCTGGTGGGTTTCCTGCTGGCAGCAGCCAAAGGAAGGGGAGAGTTGGCCCCTAGAGATACACCCCTGAACTCTGGAGCCGCCAATGAAAACCTAGTCCATGCCCCCACCCTCCGCACTCCCCAATTACTGCCCATGGCCTCGTGCTCACTTTCCTTCAAGGACATTTCAAACTGGCTTCTCCTAAAGTCCTAGGAACCAGTGAACACAGCCTCCCTGTCCATTCATTTCGGACAGCTCTCAAACACTTTCTTCAGAATGTGGACGCCTAGCAATCCAAAGATAAATAAAAGATCAGACTCCACCAAAGGAGAAGGTGCAAGAGCAAATGGACAAATGCCCGGAGAATCGACAAGTGAGTCGTGTGTTCCATGTGGGAACCCTGCTTGGGAAGGTGGCCTTTGAGTTGTCTTGATAGCTCTGTAGCTAATCTTCA